TTCCCCACGCAATTCTCGCACCCCCCAACTTTTCATCGGTTTTTCGACAAAAAAAGTGAGAGGATTATGCGAGTAAATACGGTATGTGCCCCCCCAAGCAACCTTTGGAAAAATTTGAGAACCCTTAAGCTTCGCCTTTAAGAGTTAACGCGATAGCAAAATCCAATCCCTAGTGCACCCTTCAACCGCCAAGTGCACTTATTCATGTTTTGTTACATACACAGGCACACACAAACACACACACTGTAGACTGGTCATTTTGCCTCCACCTAGACATGTAAAAAGCAGTTTTTAATCTTTCTCCATTGAATACAGGTTTAAGATTTGCCCCTTTTCAAAAATCTGCTTTTTTGCTATTGTTCGCCATTTCAAGACCCGAGTCTCCCTTTAAGTTACCCAGAATCGGAGAATATCAAGTAAGCTATTTCTCAATGACTCCTAGTTCAGGAAGATATTTAATATATAGCTTGCATCGCTGCTAGCATGACCATGAATTCCCAGAAACGCACTCTCTGTGAAATGGCGGTCGTCACCCGGTGATGCTTCAAGATTTTTTCCTTGGTTGAAAAACATTTTTTATTTAAAAACAAAATGTGATTTCACACGTTGGGTCATCCGAGCATAATATACAAAAATACGAGGAACATCTAAGGTATCAAGTAAAACTAGTTTCTTTTATCTTTCGTGGAATCAACCAGTACTAATGTTGCTACCATTTGCTTGGAAGCAAAGACATACCAAAAGGTATTTCAGAAGGGGAAGCACCATGTTGCCACACCCAGGGCACTTGGCCATCTGAAGCACCATCCATTAGGAAAAGGGATAAGCAGATCATGCTAAATTCACCGAGAAATGCACAATTCTCACCCTTCATCTCTCCTTTGTTGTTAACAATGACACCAGCATTGTCTTCAAAATAGATGAACACGCCGTCCTTCCTACGGTATGGTTTCCGTTGCCGAATGACAACAGCAGGCATGACTGCAATAGAAAACAACACAAGACCACGTTGATTCACAGGACAGAATTAACTGATAATATGCGGGTACAAACAAAACACTTGAAAAATCATTCACATTATTTTAAAAAGTGTGATCGCAGCTTGCTTCGCAAGGTCAATGTGCAAAGGAAGTCACAATTTTGAGAAGTTCCTAGAGGTGGTTTAGCCTGCGCACACTGTCCGAGGAAACCATGCATATGTCCTCTGAAACGGCCAACGCGTGCACAGCCTCCGGCATTCTGTGGCGTAAACACTCGTCTGCATCACTTGGGTCTTCATGAGCCGATTCCCCTTCGCCATCCAAGACTTTGGCGACGATATCGCTGTCGGTCACCGTGACGGCCCCATCGCTGTCTATAGCGAAGTACAGTAGACTGATACGGACTAGAAAGGACCAAAATGTTATCAGAAGCCCCCCTCCCCTTCATTCCCCTTCCCCCTCATTCCACAAAACCAAAGCTTAAGAGGTGCCACACGAATGCTGTGAGGCGGGCGCATTGCTTTGAGCTACAGTGAAGCAGTATGAAGGTACAAATCTGATGGACACATGACATCGAAGAGGGAAAGCGCGTCTACCGCATCTCTACGGGAAAGCACTCAAACGCACGTGTGACATAAGCAGCCCTACTCTTTACCTGCCGTTGCATTCTAACCACCCCTTGAACTAAAGCGGACCGACAGCTCTTGTTGAGGAGTGAACGTTTCCTCCGGCATTGGAAAAAATAGAGGAGGCATTAATATCTCTAAGGGTATTCACAAAACATCTCAGTTGTGCAGCCCCTACAGGTGCAATTAAATATTGCAATCACAAGCCAAAATGAACTCTCACGAGCTTTAGAAGCCCCACAGTGGCAAGTTATAACGGAGCACATGAAAGACTAACCGCTTCAATTCCATGTTCACAGCTGCTGCATATTTTGGGGCTCTGTAAAATGCCCTCTCGCGCTACTGCAGCTGAAATGCAATATCTGGCAAAAGGAGCGACTGTTTGCGATCAAGGTGTCTAAAGACGCCGCAAACATAGCAGGCAACTCCTCCAGCATTGACAGCTAAAATTCTCACACAATAGTTAAACTACAGCAGTGTGACACGCCATCACATTCCAGTAGGGGCCTAGACATGCCTCAGGCACAGCAATTAACTCTCCACAGCCTTGACAGCTTAAGCACACTTTACTGCAGTTGTGAGATAAGCCTCCACATTTACCTTAATGAACTTGTTGGCAGTTACGGTCTGCATTTTAAGTACACTGCACCGCTGGGGCGTAATCATCCAGAAATCCCATTTCCTGTATAGCAAATACGTCCTAACCTCAAAATAATGATCCCGAATGTAACAAAGTAAATGGAGAATAGCTTTCCAATACAGTGTCAGGAATATGCTTTTATAGCAAAATTTTGGATGCAATGTACTTGTTTTAATGTAAGATGCAAATTTGTCACAATAAGGTTAGAGTGTACAGTGGCAATCAAAATTTGAGACCACAAGAGTTTTGTGGGTTAACATTGCGGCACCTTCTCAAAGCTGCCAGAGAAGCTCGAAAGCGCGCACTGTGCAAGCGCATCCTTTCTTACCTGCCAACCTGCGCTTTCGCTCTCTTTAACTGTGCGCACACCGTAACGACAGAAAAATCGCAAGGTGTCACTTTTGCAGGCGCTGCAGGAGCACTTAGCGATAATATTGAGACAAAATTATCCAACTTGTAAGGGCACTGCTTGTTGTGCGCCTTGGTTCTAGACGCTCTGTGGCAGTGAAAACACACACATTGTTTCAGTTTCTTCGTTTTTTAAATCTACGCATGTGGGAAGATTACCGAGCAGTCCTGTCTCTTGGTGAAGCACGCGCTTTCGCCGCAGTGGAACGAAAGCAAAGAAGCGGCATGTGCTGCCCCTACAAATCAGATAGTTTTGCCGCTGTATCATCGCTCGGTGCTTCTGCGACGCATGCAAAAGTGACACCTTGCAATTTCTGTGGCGTTCCGGGCTGTGCTGCAGTTGAAGGGAGCGAAAGTGCAGTATGGAAGGTGGGAAAGAATGAGCTTACGCAGCAAACGCTTTCGAGCTTCTCGGGTAGCCGTGAGAAGATGCCGTGGTACTGTTGGCTGCGCGCTACCATGGTCTCCCAACTTTTGATCGCCACTGTACACATTTGTCCGTATTTAAAGTTAGCCCTGCCCTTCTTCGCGCTTCCAGCACTCCCCCCTCGACCTGTCATGGTCCTCTTTCGTTGCTCCCCAAACAAGAATGTCGTCAATGCCCACTTGAGTTCCTGGCAGATCCTCGAAGATTTCGCTCATCGTTTTTTTTCAACACTTTGGCGGCAAACAACGCTGAAGGGCAAGCATAGAAACCAGCGCTATCTGAATGGGGTGCCTAACATAAATATCCTAGAGGACCTTTCAAGAGAAATTTGGTGGAAACTGCAATGGACCTTTTCCGCTGGCACTTTCTGGCAATGCACAATGAAACACTGACGGCACCACCCCATAACATTTTCGGTGGCTTATTCATGGCCTCTAAAACCTGTCGGCACGCCACGTTCACGGCCATGGATGCGAAAAAACACAAAAGCTGCCAGACAGCGTGTCGACCGCAGAGCCACCAAATTTGCTTTTGGCTCTGTACCGTTAGTGTAGCTGTACCTATGATGAAAAAAGGCCATAAAAATCTAGCTTGCTTAAGAAAACATCACCGGATAATTCCAAGTCAACATCTTCCCGACGCGGGAGTGTTCACGCTTTAGGCAATGGTTCATCCGACTAGAGTCCGTGCAGTCGGCCATTTCTTTTTACGCACAATGACAAGCACGCTTACACAGCGAGTGGGCTCGGTGACCCAACCAGCTGTACTACAACACATACCTTTCTTCCTCAGCTCGGGCTTTCCCTTCTTGACTGTGGCGACAATCATGTCACCAGCGCCTGCGGCTGGGAGTCTGTTCAGCCTACCCTTGATACCATTGACGGCTATCACGTACAGGTTTTTGGCTCCTGCACACATGAAATAACACCGATAACATGTAGGATAAAAATTATTTTGCACCACCCCTAATGCGGAGAGCACAAAGAACATTTGCGAAACACGGCACGTTATCATGACGTGTACTTTAAGTAATCCTAACTTAGGACGAGACAATTAGGCGAGAAATCTGGTGTCATGTAATGAAACAAACGCGAAGTTCTCGTGGTCGACGAACAGGCAAGGTTCTGCCACTGGACACTCGTTCGTCACAAGCCGCTTAAAATGCACATTCGAATTCCTTACAACGTCACAACAAACATTAAGACAAGTTAAAATGAAGGGCATACCTGTGTTGTCGGCGCAGTTGATGACTGCACCAACAGGAAGACCGAGCGAAATGCGGAATTTCGCTCCCGCGGCTCCACCACGTCCTGGAAATGAGAAGCAAAAGCGATCAGAATTCCCCTCCACGCAGGGAACCCGCGAATGCGCGAGGCTAACTACGACAAGGCCTTAAATGTAAGTAAACGGTATTATATTCAGAGGACGAATAGACTTTCGGCATGACAACGCACCCAAACAGCACAGAGCGGTGGACCTCACACACGCATGAATGAACTATCACATCGAACAGTGAACCCCATTCTTCTAAATTAAACGTAGAGAAATTATCCTGAGGTAATCATGAAGACTCGTTTCGCATTAGGAGTCTACCAAAAGTATGCTTGGGAAGATCAATTGCGATTGCGAATTTGCGAAAAATACATACCTCGCTTAGACATTTTGGCCTGCTGGAAAAGGATTTCTCGCGCATGCGCGACTTTACACCAGACAATCAAAAAAGGCGAGACAGCTTATTTGATTCACACACTTAAGTGAAAATTTAGTATCTGAATGTTGTATAAATAATTTTACCACTATTTTAAGTGTGCAATTTTTGTACAAATATTGGTTAGTTTGAGTTGTTGATAGTTTGACAATAAAACTACATTGCACTTCCGTTTCTTCTGTTGACATTTTTCCGAGGCCCTGCATGCTTTTACTTTTTTTCTTTTCAGTCGCTTTTTTTTATTTCTTCGGTTGCGGTAGTGATTGTGTGCTACTGTGAGTTTCGGGACGTTTTTCTTGGTGAAGTCCCACGAAAAAAATCTGGATAACTTGGCATCTTGTGGTTAAGTACGTGTCTTTACGGCGGACAATGAGCTCTAAAAAGTGTGCGCGGTGTGAAAAGACGGTGTATCCTCTTGAAGAATTGAAATGCTTGGACAAGGTAAGCCCTTCTTCAGCGCTGTCGATTAGCATCTGCAGAACTTGCTGCTTCAAAAATCGAAGCAAGGCCATGCGTCTTTCAATCTCTGCCCTTCGGCAAAAGCTGCCGCGCTTGATATCCTGTTGCGCTAATCCGGATCTAGCTGTCCGGTCTCGATGACACTCCTTCGGGACGTGCCAAGTCGTGTAGTACCTGCGGACTGCCGTCACAGTAATCTTTATTTTCATAGCGAGTATCCTAAAGTACCGTCCGCACAGTTTCCAGGTGTGGCACCTACTTCGCGACACCTTTTTTTCTTTGCTGAATAGTTTGGCAAAGTTGTCACTTCTAAATTAGGGCATTATGACTGCTTGCGGTTCACGTTTCAGAGGCACAAGGTCGATGGGGGCCGTTTCTGACGCGTTCGGGCGCTCTTTGGCGGCGCCCCCAATCGTGAGAGCTAGTTCGCTGCACCAGACTCCCGGTGACGCCGATTTCACGATCTTCTTTTCCCCTGACCGCGCTCCAAAGAACGGGTGTGGCCGCAGAGCGTTCTATACGCGGCAAAAGCATCGTTTAGAGTGCCTTTCGAATCGAAATGACGATTGTATCGTGCTTCCTGACAGATATGGCACAAAGGCTGCTTCAAGTGTCAAGAATGCAACATGACACTAAACATGAAGACGTACAAGGGATTCAACAAACTTCCCTTACTGCAGCGCGTGAGTACGCAGTTCTCACTTTTTTTCGCTTACGAGCTACATCTGCTGCTTGCTGCGAATTTGTTTCCGTTCTGAGCCTAGCGCACATCTCAAGCGTAAAAACAAGGAAAAAAGTGTGCCACACACTTCACCAAATAACGAAAACGCGCGTCAGCTCTCTTTGATTCACAGAAGCAGGCGTATTCACTGAAGCAGGCGTATCACTTTCCCGCGAACGCGGAAAACTACATTTTTAATATAAGCTCTGCATGGAGTGCACAGTTTTGTGCCCGAGTATTAGGGCCCTCACTCACAGAGTTTTAATTTCCAGCTTGTAGGAATATTATGAGTACTTGTTTATTATTATAGCTGGCATTCTCATGCCTTCAAAACATTTGGTATGCACCATCCTTGGCATGCACTGTTAAGCTAAACATTTTAGAACCTGAAAAGTAAACCTTCGTATTTCGGCCTCAACTTTAAAAAAGAGTTTGCCAAACTCTATGGGTCAAAGGCCATGTTTCATTTCTTGCTTCTGATAATATGCAGTTTAACTTGACAAGATAATTCACTTGAGCTACTGAGTCAGTTTACAAAGCACACTCTCAGCGCACCCTGCGTCACATGAAGATTTCTTGGGGTCAGATGTAGCTTTAGAAATTGCATTTCAAATTACTAGGCATGGAAACTCTCTTCATGCCTCGCATGGTGGCGATTCCATTATTTTTTTTTTTTGCAAAAATTTCCTGTATTTTTTTACGAGAGATAATGAACAGATATTCTGACATGTATATTGGTGGGCAAGAACCAAAGTACCTCGTCAAAAATATCACCAAGTGCTTTGGCTTGCTCTTGTTCCAAAAGAGATATGTAACAGAGCTTTTAGTTGTGTGCATCTGTTAACATTTTTTCAGAAGTTCCTGCTGCTTACTAAGCAGATTACTTGAATTTCTCATAATTGGTTATACATATTTGCAGGAGCAGTGTAAAAAAATTTGCAAGTCTTGTGTTTGATTTATTGCTGAGCATATTGGCATGTTTTGTTACATACAAAAAAAAAACAGATTTCCTGAAGTCTGTCTTTGAAGAAGCTAAGCCCTGTGAAATTTTGCCTCTTCGTAGCTTTGAATGTTACTGTCACTGCAACAGGTATGAACATCTGGGTGCAGACTTTGGTGACTTTGTCAGGCCCATTATCCTAATCTTTCTGGAGATGACATACAGGTTGTTGCTGCAAAAGCCCTCGACTTCGGGCCCCACACATTGAGCTCATGACCCCTGTGCCAAACCCTTGTGTATGAAGTTTTTCTTTCCTTCTTTTCTATAAAATATTCAATGTGCTATAGTTAACTGTACAGTTACCTGGTAATCTCGAACCACAGATGTATACATTTTAGGATAAGTTATTGTAGAAATTTTTACTAACATCAGAATGGCTAGCCTTCTAACCAAAAGAGTTAATAACGCTGTTGCGAAGCCACCTCCGCAATCCCGCCGCTGACCTCCACTGTTGCGAACGACGGACCGATCCCGCCGAAGCCACCACTGTTGCGAAAGACGGCGACGCCAACACGGCCCCGGAGGCGCCACTGCTTTCAACTCCGCCGGGAAGGTCACCAGCCGTTTTGGTAGCGTATGTTTATCAGCTCGCGACTGCTTCTGCGCAGAGCCGATAAGACGAGCGGACGAGACGACGGTGAGTTAAACAAGGTTTATATACAGCATATATACAGAGGCATTACAATGTCGGCACTGGGGCCGACAGAGACTCGAAGAGCTGAACTCTCCTCTCTAACACATAGGTCAGCCTTTCGCCTAAGACCGCTGACTCACACGCATGTCGGCACTCCGACACGGGGACTCCTCTCTCTAGGACTGCCCGATCGCGACGCGCCGCAGGGCTTCTTTTATTTACACCGGGTCCAACCAAAATGTCCAATCAGAAGCGCCGCTGGTCGTCCGGGCAGATTCCGCCAATGGGGGTCGCCGCGCCATGCGTCAGACCACCAGGCACGAGAACGCCGGCTCGCTGTCACGTGCGCCGATGACTCAATGCACGTGGGCGAGAGAGGCGCTGCGCGTGTTCACGCCGTTGAGATGTTCGCGTCGGGCAGACGGCGGGCTGGCCTTGACCCAGATTGCCTTTTTCAGAGGCACGGTCGTTTGACGAGGACTCGCTGGCATAACAGCACCCCCGCCGCCAGACAATGCACCGGAAAGACGAGCTGCTTCCACGGGGCTCGGATGTCAGGTGCGCTCGTTCGCCTGGTCCCTCCAGGTTCGCCTCCAGGGCCATGGGGAGAATACAGCTTCAGACTGTTCCGGGAACACATCCCATTTTTGACGACGGATCCCAGCTCCACTGGCTTGTCGCCACAACTTGCTGACCAGCTTCACTAGTCTCTTCTGACCATCTTCGGGTTCAGCACTTGTCGATGGTTCTGCAACTTGCTAAGAACGGTTCGACAACAGACAACACACTACACAAGCAAGTGCCCTCGGTCACCCGACAGGACACCAGACAAAGTATAGTACAACATATACCTATCTACGTGTCTATCGGAATTTTGTTCCCTCTACATCAAGAGGCACATGTGGGACAAAAGACCCCTAAAATGACAACTCAATTTTTTTTTCACGTACAACAACGTAACGGATTAGAATACCACATAGTTGGCCCCTTGAGACCACTCTGAACGAGAGCGCTCAGCCCAGGTCGTGATGAGGTAAAAATTTTGCCCCGAATCGCCAGCGAGAAACCGAAAGGTTGAGAAGTTACTAGCTGGAACTCACTGCTCAATGCACCTGCCTTAGCGTTTACCTTTCCTTTATTTTTTTTTTGATAGCGAACGTCAAAGTTGCGCTGTGGAGCAACATGCTCCACTTCAGTAACCGGCCACTTTTAGGCGACGATACCTATGCGGCACCAAGAGCGGCTCACACTTTCGTCGTTGCACAAGAGAACAACGATACGGCTTGCTACTGATTGACTCCTCACCGCTTAGCTTGATATCGTGTTCGATCACCGTCGTGTCTCCGGGACGGTCCGACAACACATACCCAAACTCGGAAACAATCTTTCTCAGGTCCTCTTTCTCAGGTCCTCCTTCACTTACGCTAGGCTCTAGGTTTATCTGCTCCCGGATTACTTTCGATCCCCCTTCAATTACCTCACTAGAACTCAAAATTTCTGCTTCCTCTTCCTTTGAAGCATTCAACAACAGATTTACGACCGCTTGATGTTGAACGTATGGTTTCATCAAGTTGTAAATTTTGTCCGGCCGCCTTCCTAATTTCACTTCGTAATTTGTATCGCAAGGCTTCGATAATACTTTGGCGGGCCCTTCCCAATCAACCTCAAGCTTGTTCCTTTTGGGTGGCTGCAGCCGCATTACCTGATTATCAACTTCAAAAACGCGCTTCTTCCCCGATTTCTCGTAGTGCTCCTTCGACAGCACTTTTGCCGCGTTTTTCTGGCTTTCCACGAGCGCTTCAATTTGGCTTTCCACTAGCGCTTCAATCGAGAGATCCTCACTCTGCCCTCGAATGAGCGTCTCTCGATCAACTCTCGGCAGCTCGCTCCAACTTTCCGCTACAGGCGAGAGCGTTGCAACCCTCTCGCTCTGACTCAATGGCGCCACGTCGTCTCCCCCAGCGCATACCGCGCCGGCCGCTCCCGCGACGGGCCGCTCGCGTGACTGCTCACATGACTCATGCGGAAAATTTCCTTTCTGGGGTTCCGTCGACCCGCCGACAAGGTCACTTGAGAGTTCACCGCATGGAACCAAGTCAAGCTTCCGCGAAAGCTTTCGCGCTTGCGATCGCGTGAGAGCCACGCACGCTAAGTTGGGGAAGAACGATTTGCCCTGATCTTTGAGAAGCTGCTCTGAGTTGTTGGAGAATAGATAAGGAAAACGATCATTTAGCGCGGCAGACACAGCTGCTTCGGTGCAAAGCTTACCGAAAGGGCCTTCAATGACAACCGTGGCGATTGGTAAGCGAACACTCTGCACCTCGGCGACTTGCCTAATCCACGCGCATTCTCCTGTGAAGTCATCCGGAGACACCAATGAAGGATGGACAACGTCCATGGTTGCCGCTGAGTCTCTAAGTGCTCGGCACGTTTTCTCATTGACCCTAATTTCTTGGAGATACGGCTCCAACAACCGAATGTTTTTTTCTGATTCTCGGATCGTTGCGAAGGCAAACTTTTCCTGACAGTTTCTCGCGATGTGCCCTTCCTTTTTACAGTTGTAGCAGATTAGCGGCTTCCGTTTGTTTTCCGGTTCTAATGCCTGTGTGGTAGAAACCTCACTCGATCTCTCCGCTTCTGTTTGCCCTTCCCCTACACTGTCCTTCGTAAGAGACGGGTCCTTTTTGAAATTACGGTGCGGAACGGGTTTCCGTTGATCAGGTTTCCTTGAAAAGCCCTCTTTCTTTTCATCCTTTTCAACGCGCGCTGCCCTGCTATGCAACTTTCGGCGAGTATAATACTCCTCAGCTAACTCAGCTGCCTTGTTTAACTGTACGTCTCCAAGTCTGTCCTGCAGCCAAAGTTTGACATCCTCCTCGATGCAGCGGTAGAATTGCTCCAATGCAACGCATTCCACCACTTTATCGCGGTCGTCATACACACCTTCGCCCTTGAGCCACTCAATTAAATCGGCTTTAAGACGAAACGCGAAGTCAACGTGTGACTCATTCCCCTTTTCAGCATACCGGAACCTTTGCCTGAAAGCCTCGGGTGACAACTTATAACGTCTCAAGAGCACTTCCTTAACCTCGTCATAGCTCTCAAACGCTTCCCTCGACAAGCAAGTTATCGCGTCGGACACTTCGCCGGGAAGAAGAGCTAACAGGTTCCGCGCCCAAAGACACCGCTCCAAAGCGTTTCGCTCACAGACGTGTTCAAACTTGACGAGATACTTCGCCATGTCCTCGCCTACTACGAACGGTGGCAGTTGGTCACGAATTCTAAAACCGCTGACCTGAATCGTCGGAGAAGCTACGCTAGGCGCCTG